TTTTCTTTGAGCACAAATGAAAGTTTGTGATACCGGCTCCACTGCAGTGTAACTTCGTTGCTAGGAAGCCAGCTGACGTACACAAACTGGGATCGAAGGTGCAGCACGTAAGAAGTCAGGTGTCACCCATCTCGTAACAATTCTTAAAACGAATAAAGTGGAACAATTGTTTCTTTCTGAACTTTAAATGTGGTCGCAATTGTTTGTTCTGTGACTGCAACTGCCCTTGCTGACTTTGTTTAGAAGAAAATGGGGAATGGTGCCAGCAGCACAGTTCGACCGATACATTTGAATCCAGACCTACAAAATACGTTAAAGAACACGACCATTGACACAACAAGGTAGGTACTGTAAAAATGAATCCTAAATTGCCGTGTAATATTTTATAAATAAAATAATTCTGTTTATATTGGAAGACAATCTACTTCTGTTTCAACTATTCGTTTAAAGGAGCTGGTAATGTCTGTAGTTCTGCAGTATTTTTATCGTTTTACTAAAGGTAATGTTATATACAACCTTTAAACCATTGAAGGAAACGTCATAAATCACCTGCTCTGTAAAAAATGAAGGTGGAAAAGGATTAACACTCATGTAGACTGCTTAAGATAAAAATGTCGAATGTTCCCTTAAAATGTTTGCTGTAAACATTTTACCCGTGACAGCTGAGCTTTGCAGTGGAAATGAAGGTGGAGAAAGACCAGTTCCATTGAGATCAAGGTGTTGCTTTCTAAAACAATAGGTGAAATCTATCAACTCAAAGGAAGAGCAGCATATAGGGGAAATCGAGCAAGCTAGAGAGGAGTGGCCCAGTGTAGTCCAATGTGGTTTGTAAATAATAAACCGGAATTCTTGGATTTACTATGACTAATTATCCAGTTTGTGCTTTATTGTCTTCTGAGACTCTAATATAAATCACCCTTTATTTCGGCAACCCCAGCATAGCGGCGAGATACAATATTTCTATTTATCCCCATCCAGAAATAAAACATCTAAAATGTTCTATGTAATGCCACTTTCTCTCCGTTAGGCGGGTTTACAACCATAATTCTGAATGGATTTCACGAACTAAAGTATCCTTATTTGAGGAGTCCGTCTTTTGTGGAAACTGCATATAGCAGTGTTGTACTTGTGCTATTTGCGTCTGGTTTGACCCTACAGAGTCCTTAGTACATATTTTACTAAAAACGTTTAACTCCTCTTTATTTCCCGTGTTTCTGTGATTCACCTTTCTGTTTTCTTTTAAGCAAAGCACTCTGGAATTGCATCGCGTAAGACATTTCCAAGATATGTTTAGGTGGGCCTGAATGATCTAAAGGAGCGTAATAAAGTCAGACATGCTCTATAGCTAGCTATAAATATCACACTTGAAAAACTGTTACTTCGCGATAGTCGTTATATTTCCCCTTTGCACATGTCGATTTGTTTGGCTTGTTATAACTAAAATATATCATTTTAAACAGTTTTTAGAAGGATTACCTCTGACGATTACGTACTGTACAGTAATTTGTATTTAGCTTTAAGGAAGGAATTTAAAGGTATATACTGTACAGCTTCCTTGATACCGGACTCCTGGAAAGAATAGCTCGTAACGATTAATTTAGACTTAAGCTGCAGTCGTAAGTTCCTAAACTGTATATAATAAATCGTATGTAGTTCGTGAACTGTATCGATGATGAAAAAATAATTATCTAGTAATAGGCTGGACTATTCTATCTTTCACCACTAGATGGAGGTAGAATAAAGATTTCCGTATTTGCAAACCATAGTTTGAAGATTTTATTAAAATAGCTTTGGATGAACAGCTGTTCTTGTATTGTGTAGTTTATAACTTCCAAATTGTAAAATGAAACTCTATCAGAGTTAACTTTGCATAAAGAAAAGTTTACGTTGAATGCATTTTTGGATATGTTCAAATTTTGTTGACAAGGGTCTCTGCAGAGCAAATTGCAGTAGGAAAGTATCGCTGTAGGAAAACTAAACAAAAAATGAAAATGCAGGAGATTTACAGCCTTTCTGCAAAGAAACTGACACTACTGAGAGTTTACATACAGAGGAAGCTAACTTTAAAAGTTACTATTTGTGTGTGGTCACACAGTGTAAATGGCACCTTCAGTAGCATGTTTTTGAATTCTAAAAATGTTTGTGGCATAAACCCATATGTATGCTAAACACACTATCTTTTCCTAGCTTTATGATATAGTTTGAGAATCATGAGCAACAGAATCCTCATGTACACATCAGAGGGGGTAACTGTTGACAGATTACACAAACATGCACACAGTTGGTAGATTTAAAAAAAGAACATATTTATTCTAAAGCAAGAAAAATTCATATTTATTGCAGTATCAAGTGACCCATCTTGATAATCCTCTCAACTGAAGTGAGGTGGAGAGTTTTTATTTTATTAATGTTTTTTTTTTTTTAATTTAGGCTAATTTCAGAAGACTTTTAGTTGAATGACATCTGTGATCGGTTTAGATGAAATAACATGATAACACCTGATGGCCTCAAAGGTCCAGTTTCTGTGTTTTTTGGCCCAGGCAAGTCTCTTCCTCTTATTCTGCCCTCTTAACAATGGTTTCTTTGCAGAAATCCTTCCTGGTAGGCCAGCTTCACGCAACCTCCTCTGAATGGTTGATGTTAAAACATCTGTACTTCTAGTTGCATTGAGCTCAGCTTGTATTTCAGGGGCAGTCAGTCACCAGTTTCGCAGGCTTGTGAGTCTAATGAACGTATTTTCTGATTCTTACGTCACCTTTGGCCTGCCTGACCTTTTTCGGTCCTCATGAGTGCCAGTTTCTTCATATCATTTGATAGTCTTGGCCATAGCAGTTAGTGAAACTTGCAAAGTTCTTGCAATTTGTCTTAAAGATTAATCTTCATTTCTTAAAGTACTTATAGACTGTCTTTTTTCCTTGCTTGCTGAGCAAATTTTGCCATGTTCATTCAGGAATTACAAACTTTTGCCCATGCTCCCAATATTTATAGTAATCGCGGACCCTCACCAGTTTACCAATAATTGGTGACAAAAGGTAAATAAGATAAGATCACTTTATTGGCTATATACAATTTCTCTTGGGATCCTTGGGTCAGCCATTTATACAGCACCCCTGAAGTAGCAGGATTCGTCTGCCAGCCATGGGATATGAACCGACAACCTTCCAGCCACAGGCGCAGATCCTTAGGCACAATGCCACCACCTCATTTAACTAGTATGTTTAAATGAGGTAACATGCTAGTTAACTGTGAGAACCTCTAACAAAGACCATTTTAAACTTCTTTTAGTGTTCTAACATCATGTTATACACATTTCAGACTTTTAACTAACCTGGGCTTCAGACTGAAATCCGCTTGCGTTGGGTGTTCATTTTATTGAAAATAAAAAATTAACATTTTTAATGCAGTTCACTTAAGATTATATTGTACTGTAAGTAGACATACAGTATCATGTCATTAAATATTAAGTGTTTATACAGTTTAAAGCACAGATAATCATGAAAACCCTGGTTTCAAGGAGGTGTACTCAAACATTTGACTGGTACTACAGTATAAGTACATGAGTTTGAATATTAATGCAAGTTGCTGTTAGAATTTGAAATAATTCCTTATATGAGATGCTTAAGTATGTAATTAAGACTTTCGCAATTCAGTGGGTGTCCTACTGACCATTAGATAAAGGAAAGGCATATTGAATGTTAAAATTTTAATATTGTAAAAATGCATATATTGTTTGCATTTTGCAAACATACAGGCACATACTATATAACTGTATACATACAGTATATAGTATTATTGCTCTCAGTTTCATATGTTCTTTTTGTTGTTCGCTTATTTCTTCATTAAATTAATTTAGAATAAAAGATTTCAAAATGGTGCAGCTAAGAATGTTATTAAGAGGAAATTATTCTAGCCATAAGCCCTCTATGTATCACTTTTCATTCTAATCGACCTTGACCTCAATGCTCTGCTCTGTCATGTTTATGCCAGCAATTCAGAATTCCTTACACAGCCTTTATAGCCAGGTCTCAGTTGGGGCTTTCAGCCTTTCATTATCTATAAACCTCATGCCACAAATATGAGCCTCCAGATTTTGAAACTGATATGCTGCAGGTGGATATTTCATATATGCAGCATAGCATTTATGACGGGCAGAATGCAGTGTGGGGGAAGAGCGGCACACCCTTAGTCAATTTTCTCTCTTCTTCTGCTTGAAGACTTGTCTTGGTTCTTTCATTGAATATGCTTAATCGACTACTGTAAAAATACATTCAATAAAGTTCCTTTACATCCAAAGAGCTTATTGTTTAATGCTTCAGTGGTTTTTGTTTTGTTCAGTGGTGAAGGATATGTAACCTTAGTTACATAATAAGTTGACCAGATCCTCATTGAAGATTTCTAGGCACTGGTGACTTGATTCCTTCTGTTGGAGGAAAAAAAAACTATTATGGTACAAACAAATGAGGTAATTGTCAGTTGTTTTGAGCTTCCCATTATACAGCCATATCGCCCTGAAACTCACAGCTGACAATCCACTGAAGCTAAGTAGGTATGAGCCTGTTAATTACCTGGAATTTTAGACCTCCTGGGAAAGCTAAGGTTGCTGCTGGAAGAGGTGTTAGTGGGGTCATTAGGGGGCGCTTACCCTGTGGTGTGTGTGTCCTAATGCTCCAGAATGGTGACAGAGACACTGTACTGTAAATAGGCACTGTCTTCGGATGAGACGTAAAACCGAGGTCCTGACTATCTGTGGTCATTAAAAAATTAATCCAGTGTCCTGGCCAAAAATTCCAATTGGCCTTTACCAATCATGTCTTCGTAATAATCCCCATCTTTGAATTGGCTTCATCAATCTGTCCTCCTCCCCACTAATAGCTGATGTGTGGTGAGAGTACAGGTGTACTATGGCTGCATCCAGGTGGGGCTGCACATTGGTGGCGGTGGATGGGAGCCCCCATTACCTGTAAAGCGCTTTGAGTGGAGTGTCCAGAAAAGCACTATATAAATAGTGTAAGGAATTATTATTATTATTATTATACATACAACTGAAAACTAATGAGCTTGGCCAACTAATATGACCCTTGTAACAGCACAAGTAAGAACAATGACATTATCATGCATGCATATAAAACGATTTATATAATAATTTCTTTTACTTTTGTTGCAACTCCAGTATCAAACAGTTGTACTATAAAATCACTGTAATGTCTATTCAATAAATTAATGCCAATCATCTATGATAGTTAGGGGGCAGTGTAAAATGGTGTTTAGGGGCTCTAGACTGGTTTGGGAACCACTGTTATACCCCTGATCAAGGTACTTAACTTAAGGATTTCTTGGGTAAAATTATCATCTATTTTAATGGTTCCAGAAAAACTTTGTGCAAATTCATTTAATAACATTCAGCATCCTCTATTGCAGGGTGCCTGATATGTGTTTCTCGGATTCTTCAGACAGGATCAAGGATAAGGTATCAGTAGTAGTAGAAGTACAGTAGTAGTGTTGGTAGAATTTCCTCTGTATTTGAGTTTGATTGAATAGATTGATTTAATTTTGAGAATTTTATATTTATTTAAAGTTACTCAATTGCAGTATTTTGAAGCTGAATAAAGATTTATTTACCTGGAGTTAAGAACTGTGTTTCTTTGTCTAGTGCCCTAGGCTTTTACAAATTTTTAAAATTAAAGACCATACTGGCTGGCAGATTGTATTTAAAGATGATTGCTGAGTTTCTTTACTCAGCATATCCATTTGTCCCCTCAAAAATAAAGGGTCGTTTCTGACCATTGTCGTTGTCTTTGTTTTGATATTATGAGTTAAGATTCCATTTATCCGTCTGTCACGATCATAAGTCCCTCCTCTTAAGGAGTAAAATGTAATCCAGATGGGGCTGCACATTGGTGGTGGTGTAGGGGAGTCCCCATTACCTGTAAAGCACTTTGAGTGGAGTGTCCAGAAAAGCGCTATATACTGTAAGTGTAAGCAATTATTATAATTATAATTATTAAGGGCGCTCGAGCTCTTTCCCGTATTCGTTGATTTCGTGCACCTGACTCCTATTCCAGGCCCTCCCTTTATAATCCAAGCGCTCCTACCATTCTGGGCTCAGCTCTGGAAGATGGACGCCCGGAAGCCCGCCTACCAGCGGGTCCAGGAGAGACCCAACAGCATCGGCTTCACAACGGCGTCCTGACCATCCAGGTCCGGGACTTGGAGCGCCTGGCCCCGTTACCCCTTATTCCCCATCCCCGCACCGGATCCCGCTCCGGTTTTTAACTATTGTCTTGTCTGTCGTGGATGGATTACCTGGTTCTGGACTCTTGCTTTCACTCTGGATTTCCCTCTGGAGTTGTTCGTTCGGACCACGCCCCCCTGGGTACCAGTGGACCGCCGACACGCCCCCCTGTTCGTCTACCAGCCCCATTCCCGGTCTTCTCTCCCCTGTGTCTGATTCTCTCCCTTCCAGATTCTGCCATCTGCAAAGGGTCCTGATTAACGCTTCGTGACACTGTTGTCTGGATAAATGGACTCTTAACTCATAATATCGAAACAAAGCAAAACTTATATTCAAAATCAACTCCATGCAACTCAAA